GGGGCGGGTGTAGCTGGCGGGGCGGGGGGGGGCAGCTGAGGATTGATAGGAGGGGCTGCGGCGCCCGAGATCGCGTGAGTAAACACAGAGATGGGCTTGAGGAGAGAGCGCTGAGTGGGCTGCCTGGAGGACAGGGAAGTGGCTCTTAGAGGGAAATTCTGAAAAATATCGTCATGGAAGGAGGAGGGAAGTGCGGTCTAGTGGTCAGTGTGGGAGAGCTGTCCAGAGACTGTAAAGAGCAGCCCGCCAGGATTCCCAGGAATAAGGCATCCGGCACCTGCACCCCAAAAGGGCTGGGGGGCCCTCACCCCAAGCTGTGTAGGGCCCCTCCTTCCCTGCGGTGCGGGCAGCTCTACTCCTGCCTCCCCGCACTGGGTATCGATCATTAAATAGCCTCATTACGGAGAAGTTGATAAACCTGCCATACAGTACGTTGTTGCCTGGCTGTGACCCTTACCGATGGCTGCAGGAAGGGGTCTGTGCTGGGGCCAAGACTCCTGGGTTCTGGCCCCTGCTCTGGGAGGGAAGTGGGGCCTAGTGTGCAGAGATGGGGAGCCCGGACTGCTGGGTTTTAGGGCTGGGTGCGTGGGCCAGCCGGCCCCTCTCTCTGTGTCGTGCCCTCCTGCCAGCAGAAACCATCAGTCCTTCCGCTCTCTGCTGTCAGGAGAAACCCACTTCCCCGCCTGGCCTGGTCTCTTGCTCAGATGTGGTGGTGGGAGATGGAACCGCGATTAGATCAGCCCCGATTGTTGGGTCCCAGAACTCTGACTAAGGGAGCTGCTCCCAGCTGGGGGCAATGAGGCCAGGCAGGAATCGCCTCTCCGGTCTCTTTGAGCAGGGGATCCATTCTGTGGGGGTGTCTTAGCCATGCCCCGCCTCTTGACTGGCACCCGACAGTTCTGGGTGCCCCCATCAGCAGACCATCAGCTCTCCTGTCTCGGGGCTCCTCTCCCCCTTCCCCATCATGCCGTCACTCCGCTGAGCTAGGCACATTTCCCCAGCCGGCTTGGCTCAGCGCTGATCGCTTGGTGCTGGATAAGCGCTTCTTAAAAGTAGGTCACAGACCTTCCTGCACCCCCCTTTTGCCGGTGGAAGAACAGAGGCTTGGAACAGGAAATGGCCATGTGCGGGGAATGAACCCAGGAGTCCTGGCTCCCTCCCAGACCCTTGCTCTAACCATTTGACTGTACTCCCCCTCCCTGGGCTACTAATCAGGAATATTATGACTGCCAGCCAGCCCCCTGCTCTAGCCACTAAACCTCACTCCCCTTTCAAAGCTGGGGCTGGGATCGACTGGTCAGAAGAGCCACCAACTGGCAGCAAACCTCAGTGTCGCACAGAGGCCTTGGCGCCCCAGCCCAC